GGTGATGCTTTTGACACTGAGTGAGATAAATGGTGACAAGTTTGTAGGCCAATTTGCGAACCAAAGCGACTAAGGAGCTGGCGCCACACACGAGCTAACCGAGCTCCAATTGCTGCAGCTTCCCAGCTCCAGTGTTGCGCCACGATCGGCATGGCATCAATTGCGCACACAATTAGCTCCTCGGGGCGCCAACTGAGATGAGCCAAGATGCAATTTCGTTCCGACCCTCACAGGGTGCTCTTTTGTAGCCCATTTCACATTGGCTGGAGTAAGAGTTGCATTTGGAGATGAAGATAGAGTGGGGTCTCAATCTAGAGCTGGAGTTACGCTTCCTTGTTGTTCGCGCTGCGTAGAGTTGCTGACTCTGGCTTAGAGCGTTTGTCGTAATCTTTGCGCCATCAATGGGGAATTACTTGACGAATTACATGCTTCATTTCGACTTCGCCGGCAGTGTGCTGCTGCTGCTGATGGAGATGGTAGATGGGAGAGTCTGGGCCAAGTTTCGGTCAGAACCGACCGACAGAGATAGCATAAGTAGCGCAAATGCTATGCATTTGAGGTGAGGAGCAATCGTAGTAGCTGACGCAATTATCGGAAATGAAAGCTGGCCTTCAGCCACTTAGCGCTTGTTGTGGAAGCTCCCCAAAGTGTTGATTCTTGGCCTGCCAATTAGATATTGCCGCCGATTGCCTTTGGAAAGGTTTTTGAAGATTGCTGAAAGCGTGATCTAGTTATTCCACATTCAAGGCTTACATAGATAGAATGTTACAAAATGAATTAAAATTTTTTAAAACTTAAACTAGCTCTGCCCTAATTGAAAACTGTAAGATTACGAAATAGGCCTTACAAATAATCCACCCTTAAGCAGGATACTTCAAGTCAAGTTCCCCTGCCATCCGGCCAGCGGCTCCCTAACCTCTTAGTAATCCAGCTGCTAGGCAACAGCCAGTTGCTGCCCTCATACTCAGTCCTAGCCACAATTTATGCCACACAGCTCTCCAAGCAGGACACGCAACCCATCCCTGCCTTCCAACCAGACCAGCTCTGCTCTGAACCCTTTGGCGCACTGGAATAATCAGGAAGAAAAGAACCTGGAGTGGAACGGAAAACTGCATTCATTTCTGGTCCACACAGCACACAGAATACTCGCTACAAACAAACAGACGTTGGCGTGCCTCTCGGGGCTCGGAATGGTAAATAGAATGGGATTCAGAGCGGGAACGGGCACTGGCACAGGACAGGGACAGGGACAGGGATACTTGGTGAACACTTTTCGCCACGACTACTTTTTACTTTTCTTTAACATTATTTTGCACTTTTCAATTAAAAAAGTGTGCACCCCACGCAGGGCAGCCGCCACGGCAAAGGGCAAAAGTAACCCCAAAAGCGGAAAAAATATGCGGTGGAGTGGACAAGAAGGGAACGGGAGGGCAGCTGCCATAATTATAATTTCTTAATGCAAATAAGAACTCGCTGTGCTGATTTTCCCTCTATAGAGGGAACCACAATTTAAGCAGTGTGGAGTTTTCCTTGGTCGGCTCGCGCTTTTTCTCTACACCGAAAGTCGTGCCTAAGGACTTCTTAAGACTCCATGCAACGTATATGTTCATCCAAAGCAGATATTCAATAGTGAATTCAATAGTTTTCTGGACTTGTTGTATAATTTTGCAGGCATTCGTGCAGAGTAAGCAGTGGTCTGCCTATCGCAGAAACAGTTAAGGCATCCCTGCTGTATACACAAATTTTTTGTTCTTGCGCATTGGTAAAGAATACGCGGAAATGGTTAAAATGGCAATCTTTCCCGCCCCAGCTCCCACTCTTGTTCCTGTTCGTTGCTGAATTCGTTGCTGTTGACCATTGTGGCCATTGCTGGGCCAACAAACATCCATAGTTAATGAGTGAAATGAAAAGCCGTATCACCACACACACGCCCCAATCCCATTCATTCTTTCGTCCATCCATTCATACTCGTACATATTTAAGGGCTTGGCTTTTCAGCGCTATGCGCAATGAGCTTACATGGCGTATAATTAATATTAAATGTTATACTTATAAATTAAATAAAATACTGACGCTGGAGGTGGAGCGCGAACTGGTGCTGGCTCTCCTGCCTTAGTGGCACGATTGATGACTCTGGCCGTCAAGCTTATTGCCCCCCATATGTACATATGTACATACAGGGATACATATATAAGGAGTATGTAGAGGCCTTATAGTATAGTATGTGCTCTAAATGTTCCCCTTGTTATAAATGTATGTTTGCCAAGTTTGACTTGAGCCCGAGCACGACTGCCACTTGCGCCACTTCCGCTGTGCGGAAAAATGCTTTTGATTTGATTTTCACCAAAATGTCAACTTGACGTCAAGTCGGAGACGGTGGCGGACGCAGACATTGTCGCCGCCTTTGTTGTGCCGATTCTACAGCATGATTTATTGTTTTCATGAAATTGCGTGTAAACAATTTAGTGGCTGGTTGGCGCCCAACACCCAAGACCCTCCACCCACTCTCTTTTTTCCACAGCTGCCTTTAAGTTTATGAACTTTTGAAACACTTGATTTAAGGTTAAGTGTAACGATATTTCATTGCTTTAACGACACCGATAGACAAAAAATATGCATATCTGGAAGTTTACAGGAGAATAATGATAAGATTTGAATCCATTTGTGGTTGCTTGCTGATCAAAATTAGCTTCAAAGCTAAATTCTAGTTCAATTTAGTTAAAATAGCAATAAAATCGCTTAAAATCTTTGGCCTTCGTTTCTGCGCTCGTCTTATCTCTCCCAAGATAAGAACGAGATCAAAAGTATGTATGGATGTGTAGGGGAAATCACGTCACGGAAGCTGTGATAAGAGGGCAGCATCTTCTCTCGCTCAAAGAGGATAGTGAGAGCAGAAGAACAGCGTATCTCACGCACTGTTAGCTCACTTTATTCTTCTTTCGCTGTAATCTCGCTGCCTTATTAACATGCCTCTGTAACAACACTGCAGTGCTCTGGCAAACTGGTTTTTTCTCTTTTATGATCGTTCTCTGTTATATTGCTGCTCAATTAACATGCCTCTGTAACGACACTAAACAATTCGTTACTTCTCTGTTAGCTCGCTGCTAAATCTGCAGAGATCTGAATTGCTTCTTATTTGACTTTTCCTCTTTCTGCTATGGTATGGTGGCTATTTTGCTAAGGACATCACTCGAGAAAATCCATTAATTTATATCAAGAGGCCTGCAGTGATGAAAGCGATAGCCGTCTGCCCTATGTATATGTACAATGAAATGGGAGTGACGCTTCTCACCACTTTCAAAGCTCTTTTTGAGACATTTCTAGTATTCCAAATTGAACAAGTGTTTTCTTGTGAGAAAGCCTGGCATGTAAGCATTAGAAACCTAAACAGATCCCATTACATTTGCATTCCATCTTCTGGTTTTTCATGACTTTAGACAAATATCCCTGTGTCCACTCGTATGTGTCACATACATACTTATGAACGGAATGAACATCCTTACCGAGGTTACAGCACCGTTAAAGTTGAATGTACATACATATACCACAAACTCAGGCGCTGCAGCGCATGCAATTTTGACTACCAATAAAGATGCCATAACAATAAGTAAAGCGAGCTAATATCCGATTACTGTGGTATCCTAGGAGAAGCACTACCAACTGCCAGCAGTAAATGTAGCGTGAAAGGCGACCCTTCCCTATGCACTTGTACAGTATTGTACTTGTATGTGGCAAGCATGAAACAAATGCATAAGTAAACATTAGAAACGAGTGACTTTCAATATCCTTACAGGCTTATTGCCCACAGCGAATTTCACGCTACAGATAGACAGAAGAGATGCGACGCAGTATAGAAGGCAAATGGGAATGCGAATGCATTCACACATTTGCAAACACAAATACGAGTACAAACATATCTGAACAGGACAGAACAGAACAGACAATTTCAAACATGAACCATACAAATATGCGTACCCTGCTCTCACTGCCGGAGGCGCAGAGAGCGTCTGCAGCATTTTCATGTGGGATCCATGCGGTGGCTGGACTGGGATGGGTGTCAGTGTAGTGTGCCACACAGCCAGCCATGTCTGAGTGCGTTTCCTCCAACGCATTTACGTTTATTGCATTTGTAAATTATTCACACTAGGATATTAAATGCAAATTTAACCCCACAGATACAATATCCAGCCAGTTTGCTACAGCCATACATCTATCTATTGGTGAATTACTCAACTCAGCTCCTGCATATGAAGGTCCCGGCTAACGGTAACTAGATTCCAGCTATTTCCAATCATTCAATGACATTTGCCACTAACACTTTTACGTAAATAATGATGAAGTCTAAGTTTTATCAAATTACTCAAAAATAATGATTATCAGTGAAGAAAAACGTAAAAAACTGAAATATAATCTTTCCCAAGTAATTTTTATTATATAACTTAAAATGATTACGGTCCCTGGCTAGAAGACGTTTGTAAGTGCAAAAAGAACCAAACCAGAGTCCTGGGAACCTTGGCAATATTGTTCCTCCGAACTGTGCTGGTAATAAGGTGAGAAAAAATTAAAAATTCTCTTTATCACAGCCCCCTCCTTGTTCCTATTCCACTACCCCACTCTAAAATAGAAACTGCACGGAACAAGTGCTGAAAAGTTTCAATTCACTAGCAAATGTCCCTCACACGTAACTCGGTTTGTTTAAACACTGTTGACATCGATGTTCTGGGCAAAGTTTGCTGCCAAAGGTAGGTGCCTGGGAGCGTAACATGCGAATCAAATTCAAAGTGGCGAACAGAACTATAGGGCCCAGGGCTGGGGAGGAGAAGGAACAGTCCCAATCGAAGGACCCGGACCACATACTCTATGCAGAACCGCGTCACCTGTCTGACAATTATTTGACAATTATTTACACATACGATTGTATATGGCAAAAAGGGTCCGATTCGAACGTCCAGCGAGCCCGAGTAAAAGGCGAAAGTGTGCCGTTTGTCAGTCCAGTCATAATGTTCAGAGCTAAGGAGCTGCTTCTGCCGCGCGGGATCTTCGAAAACCCCATGCTTCGCCTTCATTTGCGGTGCTTTCGGTTGTACGGCTACGTGGCCTCCAATTACCAGCGGAGGCCCTGGCTGTCACAGTCGCGCTGCATCCTTTTCACGGCCTCTATCTGGGTGAGCTGCGTCCTGATGCTGGCACGCGTCTTTCAAGGCTACGAAAGGCTAAACGATGGAGCCACTACCTGCGCCACAGCCTTACAGTACTTTACCGTGTCTATTGCCACCATAAACGCCATCGTGCGGAGGGAGCGTAAGTGGCTTTTATTGAGTTTCAACGCTTTCAAATAATTGTATTGTTTTCTGAGCATTTTTCAATCGGAATTTCCCTTAGGAGTGGTTTCTATGTTGCGCGAGGTCCATGAGGATATGCAGAAGCTTATGAAGGAGGCGGATGATCAGGAGCTGGATCTTGTGTTCTCTACCCAGAAATACACTAGGACGATCACTTTAATTTTGTGGGTTTCCTCAATAGGAGCTGGGCTAATGGCCCTGTCGGACTGCATCTATCGGACACTCTTTATGCCGCAAACCGTGTTTAACTTGCCCGCCGTGCGCCGCGGAGATGAAAGACCCCTGTTGCTTTTTAGGCTTTTTCCCTTTGGCGAGCTTTACGACAACTTTGTGGTCGGCTTTCTGGGCCCCTGGTACGCTCTCGGGTTGGGGGTCACAACTATTCCTCTGTGGCACACCTTCATCATGTGCCTCATGAAGTACGTGCACCTGAAGCTGATGATACTGAACAAGCGGGTGCCTGAGATGGATGTGAGAGCTCCTTAGATTCAGCTTCAGTCCTTTTGCATTCCTTCAACCCTTGTTAATTGCAGATCATGCGCCACAATCCATTCCTAGACCTGGATCGCCTGACACCCGCTCAGCTGAACCGCTGGCGAATCCGGCTATTTACAAAGTTCGTTACGGATCATCTGAAGATCCGAAAGTTCGTTAAGGAGCTAGAGCTGCTTATCTGCGTGCCTGTTATGATAGACTTCATCATCTTCTCCATTCTTATATGCTTTCTCTTCTTCGCCTTGGGTGTTGGCGTAAGTATGGAAGGATTGGGGTTACTCAGAACAATACCTTTTGTGGCCTTTCAGTCCCCCACCAAAATGGATTACTTTTTTATGTGCATCTATATATTTGTCATGGCTTCCATTCTGTTGATCTATCATTGGCATGCTACCCTGATTTCTGAATGTGTAAGTCATACTATAGAACCTGTATCGTCCTTTGCGTTTTCTGATGTTATATTCCAGCATGATGAATTGTCTTTTGCCTATTATTCAACGCCCTGGTATGAGTTTGAGCGTTCTGCACAGCGAATGATTCTATTTATGATGATTCATTCCCAGAGGCCTTTGCAAATTCGTGCCCTGATGATACCAGTGAATCTGGGGACCTTTTTAGACGTGAGGACTCGTATTGGTATTCAATACGTAGGTATTTCTATATATAGCTCTCTTTGCAGATTGTACGAGCCGCCTACAGTTACTCCAATCTCTTAAGGCAGATATATTAGACGAAGAGCTGTTTCCACGGGTCATCGACAGGCTGGACACACCCTACAATAACTATATATTTTACTCGTACACATATATATTTACAGTATTTCTTACCTACCTAGTATGTTAAACGAATATAACTAAATATAAGAAGCTTGAATTCTTAAATAGAAATAAACCGAAAATAGTCTGCATCTCCTGCTCTAATGGGAACTGTATTTCGTTATGATAATCCGATTCCGATCAATTTCAATGCTTCGGAAAGTAATTTCGAGCCAAGCCGAATTTGACATGAAGAAATTTTTTTTTTTAATTGTGGTGTTGTGTAACATAAATGTTCTTTAAGTTTCGTTTTTGGAGTGAGTGTCCGTCTTATTTGATTGCTCTACGGCTTATAGTCTTAGATAAAGGAAATGGCTGTTAATGCTGATCAAGAATACAAGATACATATAGTACATATGAGTATGTATGCAATTAAATACTAATAAATCCTCTACGTGGAACACATCTGAAACGTAATAAGCACCCTCTACCTCACTCTTCTTCAGGTGCATTTAGCCCTGCAAATTAAAAATTTGCCAATCATATTTGGCCCACTCCGGCAAGGTGCCAGGGAGCGAAAAGGACACGTCGAATGTCCACAACACGGTCGATGCCACATCCACTATGCAGAACCCCAACACCTGTCTGTTATATATTATATTGGCCGATTCAAATTGGCCAGTTTAGCTCTTCCATCCAGCCCGAATATAAGGCAAAAGTGTGCCGTTTTTCAGTCAAATCAAAATGTTCAGAGTTAAGGAGCTGCTTCTACCGCGCGCGATCTTCAAAAGCCACATCCTTGGCCTCCATCTACGTGGCATTATAATGTATGGTTACGTAGCTGAAAAATACCAGCGATGGCCTTTGCTATCGTTGGTACGCTGCATCATCTTCATGGTCTCCATCTGGGTGAGCACTGTTACTATGCTGGCACGCGTCTTTCAAGGCTTCGAGAACCCCAACGATGGAGTGTTGTGCTGGGCCACGACCATCATGTACATTTCTCTGTCAATTTCTGTACTGAATTCATTTGTGCAGAGGAAGCGTGAGTATTACTATTCGAGTTCCAGAGCTAAAAGATATTCATAAATTTCTGCAGGAGTCATAGGCATGGTTCGTGCGATCCATGAGGATATACAAAAGCTAATGAAGGAGGCAGATGATCAGGAATTGGTGCTTATGTAGTCAACTCAGAAATATATTCGGATGGCCACTTGGATGTTATGGTATCCTGCGCTATTGACTGGGATCATCGCGTTCACGGACTCCTTATACCGAACGGTTTTACTCACTCTATCCGTATTCAACATAACCGAACGCCGGGATGAACAACAGTACATCTTCCTATTAAAGGTCTATCCTTTCGGAGATGTGTATAACAACTTTGTGTTCGGCTTATTTGGCGCCTGGTACGCTCTTGGGCTGGGTATCAACACTATTCCCCTGTGGAATTCTTTCATCGTGTGCCTCATTAAGTACGTGCACCTGAAGCTGCTTATACTCAAAAAGCGGGTGACGGAGATGGAAGTGAGTACTTCCTTACATTCTGCCCCAGTCCCTGTGGTTCTTTGCCGAATCTCCATTGCAGATCACGCGCTTCAATCCGCTCTTAGACCTGGATCGCCTGACACCCGCTCAGCTGAACCGCTGGCGAATGCGGCTCATAAAAGAGTTCGTGAAAGAGCACCTGAAGATCCGGAGATTTGTCCAGGAGTTGGAGCAACTAATCTGTTTGCCTGTCTTGATAGACTTCATTTTCTTCGCCATTTCGATCTGTTTTGAGCTATATGCCCTTATTGTAGGCGTAAGTATAGTGGAAGCGGCTGTTTATGTTGTTTTACGGTTATCTTTTGTGGCCTTGCAGACGCCCACCGAAATGGAGTGCTTCTTAATTTTATGTTACATATCCCTCACGACCTTGATTCTATTTTTGACTTATTGGCATGTAACACTCATTGGTGAATGCGTAAGTGAAATCTATTGATTTATTTTTATTGTTGGCCCTAATTAAGCTAACTAATAAGTTTGAAATCCTTTTTTGGATTCTTTCTGAACTTTTTTCAACAATTCGACTTAATTCCAGCATGATGATTTGTGCTTCGCCTATTATTCAACACCCTGGTATGAATACGACCCTCCAATGAAACGAACGATTCTCTTTATGATGATGCATGCCCAGAGTCCGTTGCGGATTCGTGCCCTGATGTTCCCAGTGGATCTGAAAACCTTTTTAGACGTAGGTAGCCGTTGCATCAATTGCCCATGAGGACCTACATTTCTCTGTATCTCTTTTTGTAGATTGTACTTGGGGCCTACAATTACTTCAACATACTGCGTGGGTTGTATTAGTACTCGTGTCCCTTAAGTTTGCAGACACCAATCCTTCTTCTTGCGTCTAATCAAATGCCATTGCGGTTGTCAACCCGTTTGGCTAACATGACAGCAAACAAGCCATGCAATTCAGTTTGCCTACACACAAAAAAGCAACTAAGGAAACGGAAGACAGACAGGGACGATGGCGTTGGATTGAGTGAGGAAAGGAAGGGAGGAGGCTATGCTAAACCATTTTACAGCACATAGAAATGTGCCTCAACCTAGAACCAAAAACCCAGAGCCAATGCAAGGAGCTGGCGACATCATTTATCACTTTTAGAAAACGTCGCATGTCAGTCGCACTGAATGTGTTTTGTTATATTGTCTTATTCAATGGATATAAACGATTTTTGCACTTCCAGCTAGCCAAACACCCACCCACCTATCTACTCACACTGTGCCACCGCTACCCCTGCCACTGTTTCTAATTGTCTTGGGGTTTTAGACACAAGAAATTTATGCGTCTGCTATGGCAAACGGTCAGATACGTGTAACCACCCCCCAAACTAGCCACACAAACCGAATTGTTGTCCCCATGGGTGTATTTTTTAATATTATTAAGAGTATAGACACAAAATAAAACAGTAGAAACACTCAGAACCCAAAAAAAAAGGCACGCTTATAGCTGCGGTTGCTGTCTTGTGTATTGTGTGCCATGGGTCGCGTTTCCTGGGATTACACAAACTGGCTAAATGGCTGATAAAGGCGCACTACGAACCTCGAACCTAATGAGTATTAATGGCGGGGTTTCTGCCGAGAGCGCGCCAGGTATACCGGAAAAAAACAAGGGTGACAGATAGCAGATAGTTGAGTAATAGCGTGAAAAGGGTTGTTTACTCACCCCGTCGATAGGAATCTCCACAGATATACATAATAGCGGACGGAACCCATTGTAGATCATCGAAGATACATATCTATATATATCTGTCTAGGTTGGGTGGAGTGGCAGAAAGAGTTGGGTTGGTCCAAGGGGTGCCTGAGTCTTAACTCGATCGTAGTCTTCGGTCAGGGTGCATTTTCGTCGCTATCACTAAGGAATACATACAAAATCGAGGTAAATTTCATTTTCAATCATTTGAGTAATCCGCATATCGTTCTTGTATAACATATACATTGTAGACACTTGTCTGCTTGCTTGAAGCTCTTCACAAAACTATTCGGGGAGAGAGAGATGAGAGATATTTTTGGATCACATATTTAGACCAAAAATCAAAATAGAACTTGGTGAAAATAGAAAACCACATGGGAGATGGCCTGGCGAATTGCTGGCATCTGTTGCCGGTATTTTTAGCATTATTGGCAAATTTTTTATGGTTTTCGGTGCGCACGTTTGTTGTTGATTATTTACGACATAACATACATAATGCAAGCGTAATGGATGCGAATGTTCATTAAACACAATGAATGTCGTGCACTCTGTGCCAACCCTGGCTCGTTCCAGAGCCAGAGCCCTTGAGGGAATGCTTTGTACGGTTGGATATGGTATGATCCGAGTGTGGTACGGTAAGGCATGTTAAGTGCGCAAGGAGCCACCCTCTTTGGGTCTTGCAGTTTTGCGAAAAAATTAAAATTTGCCGCACACATGTAATGAATATTTACAATACATTTATGCTCTACCGCCACAAAAGGAAATGAATTCAAAGGGAAAGTGATTCCCGGAACGGGGACTGCAAGAGAAATATCCCTTTAAGGAAATGAACTTGCGCACTCCTCAAGGGTAGTCCTGGACGTGAAGCCACAAAAGTCTCGTACATTACGATTATGGGTAGTCAGAAGGGATACTCATATCTATAAAATATAAATTGACTTCTGTTCCTTAGGCTTGTGGGCGGTGAAGGGACGAAGGCGGGAGCTGGCTGACAGCCAAGCCCATAATATAATCCAATAAAATCTGATTAAAATAATTTTCAATTTACAATATTAATGATATTTAGAAAATATTTATGCTGGCTACAATAATAGTAATTTTCCCTGGCAAATGTAGGTACGGTTCATTAGAATATTAATTACTTAAAGTACTCCTAATATGAGAGTTTTTTCCAGAGTTCTGCTAGTAAATTCGGACATTCGGACTCAAATATTGTCAAATTGGCTCTTTAACTAACAAAGGAAAGGAAGTGCACTACAGGAGCTCTGCTCTCCTTTTTTAGCCGCTTAAGTGTTTTGTCTTTAAACATTCATGCCACAGTAAACGCGACACACGCGCGACAAATGTCCAGCTGTTGGGGAGGAAGGGGATCTAATAGGGAGGATGGTTATTAAAATTAATTAACGCACGGCGATTTGTTGCCCGGCGCCATTAAGCGAAATGAAGTTGTAGTTAAATTTAGAATGGATTGAATTAATCATAAGCAACGGACACTCACACATCTGCTACTCGGCTATGTGCATTCGGGCCTGGCCAAAAGGGCAAACATCAGCAGACCCAATTTTGTTTGTGGACAAATGGACTGCAGTTGTCACTAGAGTGGGAGGGGAGGGAGTCGCAGTCACGGCCCCGCCCTTTCTGTAATACATATTTAAATGCAACTGATTAATCATGAATAAAGTTGCTGTGTGTTCACTATTGCTGTTGTTGTTGCCGGTCACGTGACTGAAAACAATTTGACTCCAAACACATTAACAGTTACGGTCTGGGCAGGACACCGGGCAGAGCGGAGCAGGCCAAATACGGGCCCTGCACGCAGAGGGTTTGTCACCAAAGGCAGCAACAGCAACAACAAAAGCGACGACTTAACTTGGCTAACTAAAACTTTTCATGCATTGTCGTTGACAGTGCAATAAACATGCCAAAACAAATGCAACAAAGCGTCAACTGACCCACCAAGAGCACGCCCATCCTGTCCTGTCTGGTCCTGGTCCTGTTCCCACTCCCTGCCCCACATGACATCTTTAGGGTAGGATCGGCGCTCTTTGAAAATAGACACGTATCCAGTAAAATATTTAGTCGAAGGGGGCCACAAGGAGTTCTCGCATAGTTGGCAGCCTTTTTTCCAAGAATTTCGGAATAGAAAAGCAATGACTCGACTGATTTATGAAGTTTGCATTGACATTGGAATTTGTACTACTGTGCAATGTTTATTTCAGCTTAATTGAAATGGTTTAACAAAACAGAAAATATTCCCCCTTCGCATGTTATCGATGAAAAGGTATAAACCTTCCTATTTTGTATTCCCTTTATACCTTATTGGTATTCAAACCTTAATTTTAAGCATTTTCCTAATAATTGATGAATGTAAAGTCACTCATCTAGCGGCCTGTCCTAGTTTTTTATACATGTAAATATGTAAGTACTTATCCGCCAAAATGTTCGCTCTGCCAAAAATGCTTTAAAAGGCAGTAAAAACATATTTCCAAATAAATCTGCCACGATATTATTTTCTAAATTTATTGAAGGTTATCTAATTTAAGCAACTGACAACAATTTCATTAGCTTTGATCCATTTTTCGGATTTTTTTGAATATTTGTGTTCCTTTATTATTATCGCCTGTGATAAATAAAAATATATTGTGGATAAGGGTCCTGAATAGATAGGGTCCTGGTGAAAAAAAGATCGTGCCGCCTTTTTGTAATTTCTTTTTTTCACAAACACAAACTTGGTCCCTGTTGGATGCGCTTTTTAATTTAATTTTCGTAGGCCGCAGTGCACTTCAAACCGCTTATACAAGCACAGACGAGGACAGACACGTACGAAAATATCGGGTTCTCGCAACAACCCACCCACCCACACACAAACACACACCCATGTATCCACCACACAACACACGGCTTCGGCTTACAAAAGCACAGTCGAGAGCAGTCGAGGACAAGCCGGAAAAGCGAGCACCACCCAAACCATGGTGAGGCGCCCGCTTTCATGCGCTTCGTTTAGCAAAGTGGATGTTAAGTGTAATGCGATTTTTATGTAAATTTTTGCCAAAAAAAACCAAATGGCCCGAAACACACAGACTGAATGAGAGAGCCAACAGTTTGATGATTTCGTTGCCACGGTCACGGCCAGCTTCCAGCCAGACAGCGCAGCGCAACAGCCAACTGACTGGATGGATGGATAGGCGGCGGGAGTGGTGTCCTCACAAGAACACACACCACACCACACCCCCCATTCCTGCTGACTGCGATAGCCGTCGCCACTCGACACAGACAAGTGGCAATATTCATACGTCGGAAAAGGTACGATTTTGCCATGATGAAGAGCCATGAGCAATTGTGTTCACAATAAGCTTTCATCACATTCCATGTTCATATGAACCGACTTCACAGACTCTAGGGCATTTAAGTTTTGTTTCAAATTTATTATCAGAATGTGTCATTAGGTAAAGACCATCAGTTCAACCGACAACTCTAGGCAGGAGCAACCCCGTCAGAATCGTGGTAATAAAAAATAATCACTCAAGAGTCATAATTTTCTATCATCAACTGGCCTTTTAGTATTGGGTAGAACGTCAGTCTACCACTACTAATGACAATCGTTTCGTGGCAAACAGCTCTCAGTTACGGAAGTGCCCGGTAGAACTGATTGGGAATTACAAGCACAAAGCTGGGGAAAAATGTGAGCGCCTAAATACTGATAATGGCAAGACTTCTTTCTAGAATGTCCGAACAGATGGCGCTGTGAGACGAGTTCAGAAGAACACTAAAAGTATAAAAAGGAGTACTTTCCCATACCGGGAATTGAACCCGGGCCTTCTGGGTGAAAGCCAGATATCCTAGCCACTAGACCATATGGGATATAGTCATCATTGGTCCAAAACTGCATTTTGTTAGAAATGACTAGGAATTTTTTTATTTTTAATTCTCCGCCAAAGAAAATTATAAAATTTTATGTGTTCTTCGCCGCCAACAACCAAAACTTTTTGTCGTTAGACATCAAAACACTATTTTAATAAAAAATGTGGTGTTTCTTAAAATTTCGCAAACAGTGAACGTTAGACGCTTAGTACTTTATAAAAAGTAAAATTATTGTTCTATTGTAAAC